ATGAAGAAGGTGAAACCAAGCTGTTCATTTAGGCAAGGATTTTGAAGCTCCATCTCAGAAACGTTGTGCACATAGCTAGTAGGGCCTAATCCTTGGAGAAAGACATCATGCTTGGAAGGGCGGAGGGATAATGCAGGAGGGACGACACTGGATGCGATGGATTGACACAGTAACTGGTATAATGGGGGTAAGTGTATCAGAAAAAGACTGACTCAAGATAGGCTTGTACTCTGTGACCCCTCAGAGGGTCACTATGAGTCTCAGGTGACTAGATTGCACATAACAACAACCCCCACAACAGCTGCTTGTACTATTAACCATCACTTTGCTTTTGTTCTCTATAATATATGATGCTTGAAGCAGGAGTGGCGTCCACTTTCTAAAGAACTTGCCTCCGGAAACTATGAACTTTGATAAATGTTGATAGTTGTAGAGGAGCTTCAGGCCTTTTGTTCACAGGTTTGCTATGAGTCATGCTTGACTTGAAGGCAATCAACAACAACAACCAAATTCAAATTTTTATATTTAAAACAAGTATAGCTTTAAAAAAACATCTTTGATGATAGAGGTAGAGGTTTACATGTAAAGAAAGAATGATAAGACCTATTTTAAAACTATTTTTAAATAATACAATTTGATAAGAAAACATTTGTTTATGAGTATTTATGACTGACAAAATAAGTTATTTGAAGTTTTTATAGTTGCATTGTAAGATTGGACAGAAGCATTGCTATGAGAAGATCTCTAAGACCCAATTATAGAAAAAATCCTCAAGGTGCAGAGATTAACGGGAGGAATGGGAACAATCCATGAGAAAGACAGGCTAATTCTGAGGTATCTAAGATTCAATAAAACTGATTATGAGGATATCTCCTTTAATGTGTTTACTCTTGAGTATCATAACAGCAATGTTATAAAAAAATACAAGCCTTTATACATAGTTATACATAAGTACTCAAAAATACATAGAAAAAGATCACACTATCAGCTTTATGCATTTAAAAGTATTAACTATGACATGATTGATATTTAATAACATGTGGTTGCATATTTCTAAGTAGTTCCATTAAGCACAGTATACCACAATCATCTTTATGCTATACTTTTAACTACCACTGTTTTTGGAGACTGCATCTTCCCATTTTGGAGTCATGGCCATCTTGTCTAAGATTCATTTGACCTAGAGAAAGCTGGGAGAGCAGTTAAAAACTTACTGGCTTTGCGAAAAGCTTTTAGATGTTTTTACTCTAATGGAAAATAAGTTTTTAATTTCTTTTCAGCCAACATCCATGACAAAACTGAAATGAAAAGCAAAACTAGCAACTTTCAACCAGTTTGCTAGTTAAGTTTGATAGTCACATATTGCTTTGATCTTCTCCAGAGCTTTTAGATAGTTTATGTTCTAAAGTAAGGAAATCAAGTTTCAGCACTAAACATCATCAAACAGTGATGATGAAGAAAAGGGAACTGATTAAGTTTAGGATGGAATCTAGCTAATTTTATTTCTATTTCTGTATTAGTTACTAGACTAGTTTTACATTTCTGTTTCTTTTACTTTCAAACTCTTGCAAAGCTCTAATCACAGCAAAAATATGCTCCCCATAATGGACACAACCTTCCCTCTGATTGTTCCCTACAGCTGTGTAGCTCAAACGTCACTCTAATTTTTAGGCCACTGTCAAGTCTCACATCCTCCCTTTTCTCCTTGTTTAACCCATTTTAGAATTGGCTTATTTATATGCCAGAGTGGACAGTGAAGAAGCTAGTGACTGTTCTACTGGGTTGCAATAATCCCAATATGTTGTAATCATGTCCATTTGTATACTCAGTCAGATTCTTTGTTACCCAAGCTATTGTTATTTATATGTGTTTTGACAAGTACCTAATCATTTTTCTCCAAACAAAGATGTCTGAATAGTAAACAGTTTAAAAAAATTAGCATAATTTCTATAACAGAACTATGTGAACCGATTGAATAAAACAATCTTTAATTTCTTGAAGTTTTTTAAATTGAAAACATGAGTTTCTACAGTTGAAAAAAACATGCATGGTTAAAATGGTTGAAACCCATCAATCTTTCTAACCACATAAGCTAATGAGTTCCTTCTGTTTTCTTTGAATGAAATCACCATGAGTGGTTAGATGTTGATTTAACATAAAACAAATGGAAGTGGGTGTTTCCTTTGTCCTTTGTAGAATTTATTTTTAAAAAAAACCAATTAGCAAGTATTATGAATAAGTCAATGCTTTTGGCATTACTTAAATAATAATATAGATCTAGTTGTTGAATTGCTGGGATTGCAGAGAATGTACATTTCCTCTCGTTAACATTTGCAGACATTATTAAGCTTCTCATTTTCTTTCTTTCTTACCTAACACCTGTATTGTTTTAAATTACGTTTTGAATTGTCAAGAAGTTTTAGTCAAATTATGTTTTCTGGATGTAGGTCTACTCTGTAGTGTGAGTCATTTAAGTATTTCTTTGCAATGACAGGTTTGTGACTAACAGCTTAATCTTGCATGTTTCCATACAACTGAAATCTCTGTTTCCATTCTTTGTGTATGTAAAGAAGGCTGAGCATTATTTTGTCTAAAGCGCAAGAAAAAAAGCCTTTAGTACTTAAAACATTATGAGGAAAAAGAATCTTTTAGATGTGATTTTAAAGCTATAGAATGCTTATGATTAGAAAAAGTGTTAGACCATTTGAACGCTACCAAAATATATTTCACTGGTGGTGGTTGTTGTTGATTGCCTTCAAGTGGAGCACAACTCATAGCGACTCTATGAACAAAAGGCCTGAAGCCCCTCGACAAATATCGACATTTATCAAAGTTCGAAGAGTTTCCAGAGGCAAGTTCTTTAGGAAGTGGACGCCACTCCTGCTGCTTCCAAAATTTTACTGGATTAAGGTTAAATTTTTTTATGGGACATTCTCCACGCTGGTTTTAACCCTCTTCTGACAACTCCTCTCCTTTGCATGCATCCTCTTTTTCCCCCTTTTCTTTCTTTCTTTCTTTTTTTTTTGTTACGTGATCTCTTTAGGAACACAGTGAAGAGTGACTCCCTTCTGTTCTGAGCATCAAAGAAAGCAGATCTATGAAATGTAGACATTGGGTTCTTCCAGAGACTCTATCTGAAAGAGCTTACTAAATGAATAAATGAGCCAACATATGGCCAACCTAATTCAGGAAAAAATTTCTATTGATTAGTTACTAAGCTCACTAAATAAAAAATTCAGCCCCAAGTTTTGCCTCCCAAAGGGAAATAGGATTAGACCGATCTGTACACTCACTGGGGCTTCTTGTGAATGATGCCCAGGCGTTTGAAAAACCTTCAATAATGTATAAAAGAAAAGGAAAAAAAAAAGCCCCAGTGAACATGAATTATTAATAGTTTCACATATTAATTTTTATTTTAATCCTGAATAGAATGATTTTTAATTTCAAAGGAATTTATGATAAGAACATACTCAAATCTGAAAAACTTTGAGAGATCACTACTTCTACCTTCTTTCAACTACTTTAAGTTAGTCTAATTAAGTTTCAGGTAAGCAGGAGTGGCATCCCCTTCCTAAATAACTTGCCTCTGGAAACTATGAACTTTGATAAATGTAGATAGTTGTAAAGGGGATTCAGGCCTTCTGTTCATAGGGTCATTATGAGTTGGCTTGACTGGAAGGCAATCAACAACAACAACAACAACAGCCCTAAGGTAGATCTATTGCATGCATATACATTTTACTTATGTAAAAATTTAGGTACATACAAGGTTTCACACTCTGCGTAAGTGTATTTCTTTCAGATTAGTTTATATGCTGCATCTATCATATCTGAACTAAGTTGCTTAAGAAATTCCAAACAGAAACGTATTCAGGATAATCCAAAGGTTCTTAATACTTTCTTTTTACTAATGGTGACAATATGAACTCATCAATACTTTACATAAAAATGTATTTTTGTTTTAATCTATATAAAGTGACAGATTGAACAAAACTCATCTCACTTATTTGCATTAATTTAGGATTTTTTTGAGTTGAAAAACAAAATTGAACAATATAGATTAAATTTATTACTACAAATATCTGGCTTTGTGATAAAACAATACTTAGTCTACATGTCTTTTAAGTAATCCTGTGGACTTTAATTACATTGTTGCTAAATTATTTCTGAAGCATGAGAATGCAACATACCAACAGCAACTAAAAGTATACATTGTTTCTTGAATCATGAAGCTTATCTTATTTTCTAGAGATTACAAATTTTAGAGGATCAATTTTTCTTGAAAATCAATGCAGATATACTTCTTTAAATGACAGACGCATTCATTGGTAGAATCAGAAATATATTTGAAAACTTGGTCACATCCATCTCAGTTTTAATAAAAACCCACTACCACCCTCCCCACATACATGAGGGAGTTGACACGCACACGCGCGCGCGCACACACACACACACACACACACACACACATCTATATATGAATATAGATATAACTATCCATATACCTAATATTTCTATGCTGAAGTGCAGCAGGACATTTAACTGATAATTTATTTTTGTGCCCTGTCATGGTCTGGTCTCTTCAGCTTGGGTCCTCCAGCTTTGGCTCTCCCTAGCTCTTTGCTGACACTGACAACAGCGAGGGCAAGGAAGTGTGTTCAAAGGACAAGAGCAAATGCTTCAGTGTAAGGAAATGAGAGAAACAGACCTCACAGCACAATGAATGCACTAACGAGTAAAGAGCCTTGTAGTCTCCTTCCCTTCCTTTGCTTATCCTAGTGGGTTTAATCAAAAACAAACAAAACACTCTGGTGAAATATAGGCAATAAAGTCAAAGTTGGGCTAGGTCTATGTAACTACAAAGAAAAAGTCATCGCAATTTATAAAAAAAAAAGAAAAGTAGTAAGTTTCATTAACGAGCGCGCCGGAAATCTCAGGTATCAAAGACGCATTAACCCTGGAGCGTCCCCTGCGAGCCGCAGCCGGACGGAGGCAGTCGTGGCGAACAGACGTTCTTTCTCCTCCTAGCAGTCACACAAAAGGAGGGCTGCGGAACTAAAAGTTTCGGGGCCTCCGGCTCCGTGGATGGAGAAAAGAGAAAACCTGGAGACGGGGTGGGTAAAAGACGCATCCTGGGCGCCTCTCCTAAGTCCAGCCAAGGAGAAAGCTCCTTGGCCTGGAGGAAAAAGGGGAGGGGGCTTGGAGCCACTGGCCAGTCCCCTGCGCCCCGCCTCTGAGACTGGAGCGTTGTGCTCCGCCGCGTTCTTCCAAGTACCCTTCACCTCGTTCCAGAAATAAAATAAATGTTTTTAAAGTGCGTGTGTGTGGACAGCATGGAGAGCGCGCGCCGGCGGAGCGCGCGGAGGACAGAGCGCGCAGTGAGTGGAGTTTGGGGGGTGCGGGCTGGATGGGTGTGCTGATGGCGAGGGATTGAAGGCGAACCCTGGGACCGTAGCGTGGGGGCCGCCAGAGAGAGGAGAGAGGGCGTACGAGCGGGCGCAGGTCGCCTCCCGGGCGCGCGTTCCGCCGCTGCGAGCGCGCGCCCCTAGCCGCCGCCACCTCCTTCTGCGCCGCCGGGACAACCGTGCGGCCGCCGGGCCGCCTGAGCCGGGCCAGGGCACGGGCTGGCCCGTGCTCGGGCGGCTGTTCGGCCACTGCCACCAGGGCCTGAAGGGGCCCCTGCCCGTAAGTGCTCCCATTCTCTCCCCCTCCTCCCCGCTCGGGCGCACCGCCGCCGCAGCTGCTCAAATGGAGTGGAAAATGGCCATTGGGCGGCAATGAGTTATAGATTATCTGCTTCACGTTTTGTACTTAGCTGCCTGTAATCTTCTTTTGAGTTTGCCTGAGCCCCTTGCTGGAAAAATCAGGAGGGAGAGATTTGTCCTTTGCGGCTGTACACGCTAATATGTTTATATGATTAGCCGAACTCGAGGGGGGGGGGTGTGGGGGGGTGCTGGGGATTGGAGGAGGAGGAGGAGGAGGAAGAGGAGGAGGCTGGAGGTGACTCCAGTTCAGACCTCGCAGAGAGTCTGTGTCAGGACTTCGCACTCCCCAGTCTCTCCCTCTCTCGCTTTCACAGCCTCTTACTCTCTCTCCGCTCACTCACACACACACGCAGAGGTGCCGGAGCGAAATCGGGAGCTTACGGGAGAATTCCTTGGGATCGTTGGGGAGGGGGACATCTCCCTCCGCTGCTGTGCGTGGCGTTGCTCTTCCTTTCTCCTCCCTGCTTCTCAGAGCCCAAGTCTTCGCCTTCAGCCTTTCCCCAGGCAGCAGCCACCGCTCGGCTTCGGCCCGGAGCCTCGAAATGTGAGGAGGGGCCGCCGCTGCCTCCCGCCCCAGGCCGCAGGGTCGGCGCGAGAGATGCCCATCCGGCGGCGCGGACGGCGGGCTGCGGGGCTTCGCCTGACAAACTGAGTTGGCCTTGCGCCGCCGGCGTCTGCCCGCCCCTCCCGCGGCCGCCGCTCCGAAGGGACTCCCAAGTCTGCGCACCTCTCTCGGGCTTTTGCCTCCAACCACCTCTTTTGCTCTGATTTTT